CCAAATTTGAAAGACGACAAGTTACATAGTGGCAATTCAAACAAAAAAAGGAAATATAGTAATTAAAAATGCCCACGCTACTGAAAAGTCCTTTATTTAAAAAAATAAACCAATATGTCCCCCAATGTAAATACAGCATCAATCACATTTTCCAGTGATCTATATCCATGTCACTTACCAAGACCACTGCCCAGTGATGTTGATACACTGCCATGATGACCTGCTACCATGATGATGCTGCCCTGTCGCTACTCCCTTTGCTAATGACAGCTCCCCTGTGCTGCTGTAATATTAGCACAGCAGCAAGGATCATGGGTGATGTCATTGACCAAATATGGCCATGACCATATTAAGTCAATGATGTGACCCAGGATCACCAGTGTTGTTGTTTATATTCCAGCAGTCCCCAGGATCTGTCATGTCATTTAGCAGCATAATTGTTACGCCAAATGACAGACTTCTGGCTGACGTTTGCTTACAAATATCAGCTGGAGATTTGGTGTTCAAACTGGCCAGATATAGCCAATGTCTATAGCTGTTTGTATCACCGTGAGATTGATCCATTTATTTGTTTATTGACCTTTGTCACCAGGGCTAATAGTGAGGGGATATTACAAATTTTGATATGTTGAAATTTTCATAGTTCTAAGAAGGGTTTTTGCTTACTTTAGAGATACTTCCTCTAGTCTACAGAACAGCAAGTGGAGTTGCTTCTCTAAAAGGGACACAGACAGCAAAAAAAACCTTATGGAGGTTTAAACATTCAATACTCCACCCAAAACCAAAAAAGTGGATTTAGGCCTCATTCACACGAGAAACGGCCGGCATGAACAACTCCGTGCTGCGTGCACGGCCGTATCCGGCAGCTCCCGGGAAGGACAGGTGCTGCCTGTGATTAGTACGCAGCTCCTGTCCTTCTCTATGGGACTACGCAACCTGAAGTGCAGGTCCGCACGGGTGCAGGTGTCCCGGGTCGGACACAGACTGAATCCATCCTGCCAGCGTATGAGTACGGACACCCACACCGGCACGGACGTGCCGGGCGGGTGAGCGTAGGGTGGTATACAACCACGTACTCCCATAGAGAAGGACAGGGGCTGGGTACTAATCACACGCAGCACCTGTCCTTAACGGGAGCTGCCCGATACGGCCGGAGCTGTACGTGCCGGCCGTTTCTCGTGTGAAAGAGGCCCAATTGTGACCCCTCTATCAGTAGAAAACGTGCCTGCTATAAGTTCCAGGAACCAATAGCCCCTCCCTCTTCCTCCTGCCACAGGTATCCAGACAAACGGCAAAATATTTCTATATAATCATATTACATATAGTCCTGAGTACGTGCTGAGAGACTCCTACAAGCAACATAAAAGTGATTTCAGAATAAACAAAGTTAATAAACAAAATGAAGAATTTATTCAGAATCTTTCAGTTGGAAAGATGAATATATTAATTTTTAAAGAGGTGAAGTCCTTTGTAGCCTTTTCACACTTTACAGAACAAAATATGTAAGAGCTCTGAATAAATGGCTGTGTGTTTCTTTCGGTGAGAACCGGCTCTTGCTTATTGAGTAAATGGACCAGGAGAGTAATCTCTCTCATGTACTTTTGGTTAATGCTTCAAAATCTTCTTTGGAAGAGAACACAGACAAATAGCTTTGCAGAGGAGGGGGTGGCCGCATGCTGAGACCAGGGGAAATTGTAGGTTAATAACATTTCCCTGTGGATTCTTTTCTGAAAGTCCTCTACTCTTCCCAGCACCATCTGTCTGAGATGCTCCATGGCTGTTGCTGTTTTTTGTTTATTATATATTGCAACATAATAATATATGAGATAATGAATGCCCTGATCTACATGATAGGAAAATGAGGATCGCCATGAAGATCACAGAATGCTCAGTGTCAAGTGCCTTTATAGGGCTAGGTTCACACCAAACCGTTGAGGTACATTGTGGTATTGTATGTATGCTAACACCATGCATTTATATACACTGTATTAGGCATCCCATTCAAATTGAATGGGCTGGCAATGCACCTTAATGGCCCAGAATGTGGACACAAATTCTTTTGGCAGTACGCCACGCATTAGAGCGTTTCTGTGTGTTGCGCTGCGGTGCAGAGCACTTGCATCAGCAAGGTGCATTGGGATGCCACTGCATCATTGCATCACACCATTGCAAGTGGTGTTGTACATTGCTGTAACGTGCACAGGAACGCAGAGGATTCCTGCAATCGAATAATGTAAATGGGGCCTTAAGGTGAATGGTATCTGAAATGAATCCAGTTTCCTATGATCATTAATTGCATTCATTTCTTGTGATACACAAAAAAGAAACTCACACAAGCTGACTCTGAGGGACATAAATTGATGGCTATTTACAGATTAAGACTGGCAGACAGATAGATAGACAGAGAGCAACAGGATCAGACTGTGATGGATAGACAATGAAAGTCGCTAATGGATACAGATTACAACAAAACTATGGACATTCATATGGAGTGCCATCCCCTATCAGCTGTAACAGTCTTCATTTTTCTGGGAGATTTGGAATGTGTCAACCAAAAGAGCATTATTGAGGTCAGGTAATGATGTTGGATGTGAAGACTGGGATTGTAATCGACAATTCAGTTCATTCCAAAGGTGTTCAGTAGGGTTGAGGTTCCGCTTCTGCGCAGGTCACTTAAGTTCCTACACACCAAACTGGTCACACCAATGTCTTTATGAAGGTAGCTTTGTGCACAGCCACAGTCATGCTGGAACAGAAAAGAGACTTCACCAAACTGTTCCCACAAAGTTAAAAGCCAACAATTACCTAAAATGTCTTTGCATGCTGTTTCATTAACTGGGGAAAAACTTAAACTCAATAATTTGGTGGGATGTCTACATACTGTTGGCCATCCAGTGTAAACAGAGGCGGCTCTTTAATTAGGCGAGTTAGGCGGAGGCCTAAGGCCTCGCTCTTATGTGGGCATTGCGCCACCGTAACGCTGCAGGCGCTGTACACAAGCAGCGTTACCATTCCCTGTCAAACTCACCCAATAGGGGTCCTGGTAACTGGCAACATACTGGAGATAACTTCTGCCAGTTCACAGCGCAGCGTGAAGGAGGAACAATCGCTGGCTCAGAAGCAAGTGAGGGAAGCGGGGATATAGGATAACGGTAAGGAAGGAGATGCGATGTAGAGGAGGGCCTGGAGAGATGTGATTGGGGGGGCCGACACGGGAAATGCGACTGGAGAGATGTGATTGAGGAAAGGGGGTGCTAAGGGGAGGTGATAATTGCGAGAGGGATGATTTGATGTATGTTATCCAATATGGATGATCTCATGTTCATTTATAGGTGAAACTTTACATAGAAACAAAGCTTTTCAAAACATTAAAGAAAAACTATTGGGAGAGTAAAATATACTCTTCCCAATAGTGTGATACTCTATAGACTGAGAACTGAGCGATCACAAGAGCATGGTTTTCTCCCCACAGAGAGCAGTGACTGTCATTCACCGCTCCCCACAGAGATTTCCCCCTTCTCTCTCCATTCCTGCAGTTCTCATTGGAGGGACAGACAGGGGAGGGGGCGAGCACAGCTGGCTCTGGCTCTAGAGAGATAGAGCAAGCTGTCAATCAGTCAGTGGGATCTTTCCCGGCTGCAGTATGGATCTGCGCTGTCAACAAATAGCAGGTAGTAGCCTGCTAATGCTGAGTTTGGTCATGGAGTACATTAGAAAATATACTCCTCTGACCCAAAAGAGGACTAAAGCCAAAAAGAGGTTTGGCTCTAGTTCTCTGTTAACACATAGTGATAACTGTATTTATATCATGTTGATATATTTTACATGCATATCTAAAATATAATTGAAAAGGCAAAACAGGCTCTTCACATTCTACCAAGATCTTCAGAGAGTCAGGTAATTTGTAAACAATATTCCTAAACTTTGGCACATTACTCTCAAGCTAGGAAGTCAACAACAAGCAGGTACCATAATCTTGTAAAACTTGACAACTGCAACTGGGCCGAGGTATTATCCATGAAATTACTGTATCAGAAACTTTGCACCAGGAGATGCATTCACCAAACCATAACCAAAGGATCGTTACAGTTTCCTTCAAGAGAAGCTAAACGTCACATAGCAACGCATATGTTGTTGAGGAGGGGTGTTGGAAATGCAATAGCATATACTGATATACTTGTGTAATTTGTCTTTTGAGCTGTAGATGGCACTGTAGAGCAATGTTAGTCTCTTTGTGCATGCTTATCTATGATACACAGGAAGTTCTATGCATTATACAATGCTGTATAATACATGTAATGTTCTTCTTACCAAGTAGAATTTAATTCAGCATTTCTCAAGATCTCAGTGTTTCATCTAAACACATAACCAACAATATGTACCCCCCACGCCCCCCC